TGTCCTGGGTCATGGAGGGAGCTGCACTTGTCGCCATTGTATTATCAAACGGTAATGGCCAACCACCAGACTGGGAGGATTTCATCGGTATCGTCCTTCTCCTTTTCATCAACTCCGCCATCGGTTTCTATGAAGAGCGTAACGCTGGTAATGCCGTCAAGGCACTTATGGATTCCCTCGCTCCCAAAGCAAAAGTCAGACGTAACGGCTCCTGGTTGGAAATCGAATCTTCAGGACTCGTTCCCGGTGATATGATCTCTTTCAAGATCGGTGACATTGTTCCCGCAGACTGTCGTTTGACAGAAGCCATCAACGTCTCCATTGACCAGGCTGCCCTTACGGGCGAGTCTCTTCCTCAGAGCAAGAAGTTGGGTGATCAGTGCTTCTCGTACGTCATCTTCGGTTTACTGCAGTGCTTGGCATTAAAGTCTACAATCTACTCCCAGGGGTTCGACGTGTAAGCAGGGTGAGGCGGAAGGTGTCGTAATTTCCACTGGCGCCAACACTTTCTTCGGACGGGCTGCTTCCCTCGTGGGCCAAGACGATGACACTACCGGTCATTTGCAGAAGATTCTTGCCCAGATTGGCTCGTTCTGCTTGGTATCGATCGGCATCTTTGTGCTCGCAGAGATTCTCGTACTCTATGCGGGCTTCCGCTACAGCTACCGTCGTGGTCTCAACAATATATTGGTGCTCTTGATCGGTGGTATCCCCATTGCCATGCCAACTGTCTTATCCGTCACTCTTGCCGTGGGTGCCCAACAATTGGCCAAGCACAAAGCCATTGTTACCCGTATCACCGCCATCGAAGAGTTGGCCGGTGTTACCATCCTTTGCTCCGACAAGACGGGTACGTTGACCACCAACAAACTTACCATCGATAGGGCCACCATTCGCACATACGGGCCCTTCTCTGCCGATGATGTCATGCTCCTTGCTGCCTACGCTTCTCGTACCGAGAACCAGGATGCCATTGATTCGGCTGTTGTTCAGGCTCTCGGTGATGTTTCACGTGCTCGTGCTGGAATTAAACTCCTTGACTTCAAGCCCTTCAACCCCGTTGACAAACGCACGGAGATCACTTACCGTGAAGAGTCGTCCGGCATGTTGAAACGCGTTACCAAGGGTATGACTGGTATCATCATCGAACTTTGCTCGCGCAACAAGACCGAGGAGCTTGAGAATAGACTTGAAGCTGATGTTGAGGAATTCGCTACGCGTGGTCTTCGTGCCCTCGCTGTTGCATACGAGGAGCTCGACGGCCAAGACCCAGAAGGTGAAGGTAACGGTCTCGAGCTCATTGGTCTTCTTGCCATCTTCGATCCCCCTCGTGAAGACACCAAGCAGACCATCGATGATGCTCTTGCTCTCGGCGTGAAGGTGAAGATGGTTACCGGTGACCAGCTTGCAATTGCGAAGGAGACTGGTCGTCGTCTTGGTCTCGGTGATCACATGTATCCCGCCAAGGTTCTCAAGGACGGCCCCGCTCCTGGTGGCAAACACTTGTCACTTGATGAGATGATTTTGGATGCCGATGGTTTCGCTGGTGTGTTCCCTGAGCACAAATATGAGATCGTCAAGCGTCTCCAGGGTCTTGGCCACCTGTGTGCCATGACTGGTGATGGTGCCAACGACGCTCCCGCTCTTTCCCGTGCCAATGTTGGTATTGCTGTTGAGGGTGCCACAGACGCTGCTCGTGGTGCTGCTGATATTGTGCTGACCGAACCCGGTCTTTCCACCATCGTCCACGCTATTCGCGGTTCGCGTGTCATCTTCCAGCGTATGCGCAACTACTCCATATACGCTTGCGCTGTCACCATCCGTATTGTTGTATGCTTCGCGATCCTTGCCTTCGCATTCAAGTTCGACTTCCCTCCCTTCATGGTCCTGATCATTGCCCTGCTGAATGACGGTACTATCATGACACTCTCAGTTGACCGCGTTTTGCCCTCAATGACACCTGATTCTTGGGACCTCGCTGAGATCTTCGCGTATGCCGTCGCTTATGGTATCTACCTGACTGCCTCGACGTAAGTAATACTTTTTCCACATCGCTGTCGAACTGAATCATATCCTGTAGTGTGGCACTGGTCACCATCATCTTGGAGACTACGTTCTTCTATGACAAATTCGGTGTCACCTTCAACGGGAATCCATCTCCTTCTGGTTCCAATGATTATCAGCTCCACATGATCGTCTACCTCCAAGTTGCTATCATCTCGCAAGCGTTGATCTTCGTCACCCGTTCGCACGGTTTCTTCTTCATGGAGCGCCCTTCTGTTGCTCTCTTCGGAGCATTCTGCGTTGCGCAGCTCGTGTCTTCGATTATCGCCGCCTACGCCAATTTCGGCTTCACGCAGATCCAGGCGATATCAGGTGGATGGATTGGTATTGTGTGGGTTTGGGTACGTATATCTATCGAGCCTTTTTCTGTGCTTTTGCTCACTCATGAATCCCTAGAACATCATTTGGTTTGCCCCTCTCGACTGGATCAAATTTGCGATGAAGGCCACTGTTATCAAGAAGCTTCGTCAACGTCACGAGGCAGCACAAGCAGCACAGGCCATCACTGGTGTCCCCATCACTCGCACCCAATCTCGCGCTGCTTCAATCCACGAATCGTTATACTCGAACCGTGTGTCGTTCATCCGCCGTGCTGCTCGCAAAGTCGGCTTCGGATCCAAGATTACGATGAAGCCCGAGGAGCTTCAACGCTTCAGCAGTATTCAAGCACAACGTACGGGTGCGACACTCGCTCGCAATCCCAGTCGTACCGCTGCTGCATAGACTTTGTGAGTTGTAGAAAGGGAACGAGTGTTCCGAGATCACCTGCAGCAAAGCAAAACGCATGGAACGATGTCACCTGTAATCTAATAGATATTATCAAGGCCCGCCGTCTCGCATGTGGTGTCATCCCTCTCTTTGCCTATTCCTACTCATTTCATGTCACCATCACACGTACATATATACGCATGGCATTGGATCTGGATACCTCGTGCCTGTTTCGTCGGTTGCTCTTGGTTTGATTTTCTGTGGTTCAGGCTATCTGACGTGTTTACTCTTTCCGACTTTCGACACCCACACTCTTTTTTTGCCGCTCTTCTCTATAACTAATGATTGATCGCTCAAGCAGTAGTGGGCCATTTAATAGTGCCACTCATGTATAGATTCCTGCGTTTGATATCATGAAATGTCCACACAGTACATATGTATTTCGTAATTACAATTTAAAGACAGATGTCGCTTCATCGCAGGCAATGGATCAATGGGATCCATCAATATCAAGGTCGATATATCAATGGTCTGATCAAAAAATTGATGTGGATACGCTTCGCTGTCGGAGACGGGAGAGCATCAAATTCGGGTTTCGAGGCATCCGAGTGGGTTTCCGGTCGTACAGGAAACCGAACCGTATCTTACTGCTTATTCCTGTGTCAGATGCATTGGAATCCCTAGGTGAGGAGAACGTTAGCATCCGTGGCGATGCGAGCGACGCCCGCCACCGCCGCGTCTGGCAAGATGCGCATATACGCGCACAATCAAATCAGGGACGGAAACATTTGAACGGAGATCTCGTCCCCGCCAGCTAACATCGTGCAGGAAGATACCACACCGGCAGACAAAATTGTGGAAAGAACACGCATGCATGCATGTCATACGCCACTCATTGTGTGAGTACATGTTGCCGCGGTCATCCCTGGAGATACGGCAGGCCAACGAATAAGCATAGTCTGGGAATGCATTCGGATAGTTCGGTTGTCCGTTTTAAAGTGTGGGCAGCCGCGACGAAAGGGCTAGAGGAACTATGATTCCGAATAGTACCCCGTTGTTGGCACGAGGACTCACATTTCGTGGGACTTGAAGCTTTTTGAAGTGTGCTGACAACGTCAATGCATTGTGCAGGGTACCTGATACTCGCTTCTGCTTGCCCATCCGGGGCTGACCGTGGTTGTTCGGTCAAACGTATGACAGATAGCGTCACGGATCCCCATGATTCAGATGGATAGCTCGGAACCCGGCAGTGGTTACGCAAATCAATTTACCTCCTGGGACGGGCTCCAGGGCAGGCTCGGTCAAACAGTCTTCCACATCATTTGTTATAGTAGTAGCGGGCACAAGGGTGTTCAATGCTACGGACCCCACTGCTCAGGCTCATCCTAGCGTTGATGAATCGTGGAAAAGAAGTTCTGGTGCCGGCGGTGCCGCAGGGTCCTGCTTTCCTAGGGCTGTCAGTGAAAGCCCTTGTCCATCATGATGCATGATGGGCCGATATTGACATGGACATCTAGCTAGGCCTTTCGTAGTATCTCAATCGGACGTGTGGGAGATACCAAACGTTGACTAGGACCTTCTCATAGCTATCGCGATAGCGCATATCGTAGGTTCCGCGATTATTCACACATCTATTTTCAAATGTTTTTGACCATCACCTGTGTGTTTCTAGTCGAAACATGCTAGAAATTTCTAGTCACCACTGGAATCGACTACTTATTCTTCGGCCGTGTACTATATGGATTTCAAACCAGATAACAACATCTGCGGACAAGGACTTGGTCGACCAGTCAGTGTCGGTGTCATCACAAGGAGCCGATGCAAAATTATCTGCAGAGGAAGATTTTCTGAAGTTGCAATGACCAGATTGCCACTGCTCGGCTTGCGAAGAGTCGGGACCTGCCTGCGAAGGATCAGGTTACGAGCAACTGGTATGCGAATCCGAGAGGCCATCTTGAGAAGTCCCATTCGTCGACATTCGAACCTTTGATCTCTGCCATATCTATGTCTAAATCGCAAATATGTTGTCCTTCTCAAACCAATCAAGCCCAGCTACGAATCCGATAGTGTGGTTACTCGCCAATTTCATGATAGCAGCTAGGCAACGCGCGGCTTGGGTTGTTATCGATGCCACTGAAATTAAAGCAGATTGCCGCTTTATTTCCGTTGTCTGAGGCAATTTTTTTGGCATCAGAGTGATACCGTGATCTTATAACGGATGTCTCGTCATGAACTATGCATCGATCCTAATGGTGGCATCGTCGCAAGCGCAATTATTGTGTATGTGCAAGCGTAGAAGGGCTGGTCGAGATACCGCCATTCTGGATTATCTGGCTACCGTGCCCTCGGACATTTCCCCAGAGGAAGATTCCTGGACCCAAAAGGAGATGAAGCTCCTTGGTTTCGATATTGGCTGTGAAATGTATGGGTTAGACTCTACTGTTGATCAGAATATTGACCACAACACCCAGAAGCCCTGCCATGTCCAACTTCAAGCCGGAGTTCATTGTGGTCATGCTGCGATTTGCACAAGGTTTTCAGTAAAGCACTGTCTCCCTCGCTTGACGCACTTGCCCGTCGAATTCATTGCCTTGGCACCATTGATAGGTTGGATTACCAAGACGTCGTTCGTGCGCTGGACGGACGGTGTCGGTATCGCTGCGAGTTACCTCCCACGAATTGCTACGCTGAGCGCCCGCGGCTTCGTCACGCAAGCTCTTTCTTTGACTTATAGGGAACCTACAAAGCCGAGTACTATACTTGTTGCAGACCCGCGGTTCTGGTAACTAAGCTATCACCTGTGACGCGGCATCCTCTCTTAACTCCATGTGTCGTCTTTAAGAACTTCGAACTGCCGCATCTCGGTCATCAACTAGCAATATCAAAGCTATGTCACGATCTCGGGTCAGTCCTGGCGTGGCCTACCTCACTCGTGGTTTGCTTTCTGTCATTTTTCCGACCGCTTCTTCCGTCATTATTATAGGACGTCTAGCCTGTCTGCAAAACTTTCCAGTCTCCCCATGGCTATTGTCGGCAATGGTTTGGGGTGCAATGCCTCTGGGGTTTGCAGCTTATATTTTCGTGGATGAGATATTGCAGCGACGAAAGGCCACTCGACTCGGTGCCAGACTCGTTCCTCGTATCCAGGGCAGATGGCCTGGAAATCTGGACAAGTTAGTGAACGTAATCCTGACGCTTGAGGTCGAATACCTTGGTATAGTTCTTGTTTTATGCATTCATGTTCGTGCTTGACTTTTGTCTAGGACAACCTGTGTTGGACGAGATGAAGGAACTTGGGCCGACTTTGAATTATCGGTGCTTATGGGAGGACTACATCGTGACCACGGAGCCCCAGCACGTTCAGGTAAGCTCCGATTTATGTCTAATGACGATACAACCAAGCTCCATACAGACAATTCTTGTAACTGATTTTCATAACTACGTCAAAGGTATGCCCATAAATCATAAATGCTGTCTATTTACATGTGATGACTTATGACTCGATGCAGGTGCAAAGTTCCGAGAAGCGGCTGATTCCATCCTTGGAACGGGGGTATTTAACTCGGATGGTAAGTGTGATTCAGAGAGCCTTTTACGTTGCGACTTACGCGTCGATTGAGGTGAAACATGGAAGTAAGCCATACATATGAAGATCGTTCCTGATAGGAAACCTTAGGCGCGCTTCTAGGCTTCACAGAACCATGACACGACCTTTCTTCACTCATGATCGGATAAGCCACTTTGAGATCTTTGACCGTCATGCGAATCGTGCTATCGCCTTGGCGAAGGACCGTTTCAGGATGGACATGGCAATTGACTTCCAAGTAGGACTTCAAGTCGGCATTTTGATATCTTTTGTTGAAAAACTACCGCAGGATCTCATCTCGAGATTTACACTCGACTCTGCATCGGAGTTCTTGTTTGGACATTGCATTGACTCACTTTCCGTCGAACTTCCTTTCCCCGATAACACGCTACAATCCACACATACCAAGCCTGGTCCGGGAGACAATGCTGCAGCCTTCACAAATGCCTTCTCTCAAGCTCAGCATGCAATTAGCCGTCGTGTCATCATTGGGGCAGCCTGGCCAATGATTGAGATTCTTGCTGACAGCACCGCGCGACATATGAAAGTGGTCGACAAATTTATAGATCCGATCCTAGAAGCCGCTCTGGCGAGGCATAGCACGGCTGCTAAATTAGAGGCAAATGAAACTGTGGAAGACCAAACCTTTTTGGACCATCTAATAAAGCTGACGTCGGGTGAGGTGGCACGTTACCTGGGAATTTCTGTTGTTGAAATATTCTTTTCAGACTTCAAAGTCATCAAAGACGAGACGTTAAACATATTGCTGGCGGGAAGAGATACAGTGAGCTTGCAATTACGTTTTGAGTCATCCATGTTGGTGACGAACAATATTAGACAGCCTCGACATTGACTTCGGCTATTTATTTACTTGCGATGCATCCAGAGATTCTCTCTCGACTTAGGGAGGAAATAATATCGAAGGTCGGGCCGACTCGCATGCCCACGTATGGGGATATCAAAGAGATGAAGTACCTCCAGGCCGTTCTCAATGGTGCATATCTTTGTTTTCTGCCGGACGTGGGGATGTCACTCATCTGTTTTAGAAACGATGCGCCTTTTCCCTGCCGTGTGAGTGATTGAATTTGATTTCAGACGTCGTCTTACCATACATGCCTAGCCCCTTTAATGTGAGGTATGTTTCCGGGCTACTTCAAAGATACGAGACTTGAACTACGAGCTTTCAGGGAAGCCGTACATGACACCACATTGACATCCCCCGAACCTGAGAAGAAGCCACTGTTTGTTCCAGGAGGAGCCGTGTACGTGTTCTATTTGATCGTTTAGATTCATCGCATGACTGCTTGAATGATTTCAGGGTCGTCTATTCAGTGTTCCTTATGCACAGGAGAACAGATCTATGGGGACCAGACGGTAAGGTGCTTGAACTTCGTCTACATATAAATTACTGATTCAATTGGACTTCGTGTTCCAGCGTTGGAGTTCGATCCGGATAGATGGCTCGACGAGCGCATGCAGAAATATCAACTTGCTAATCCCTTTATTTTCGTCCCATTTAACGCGGGACCGAGGATCTGCTTGGGGCAAAACGTACGTCGCTCGTGGAGTTATTCATTACCTCCACCCGTCTCATGCCCTGTTCCGTATCTCAGTTTGCCTACAACCAAATGTCGTTTATGCTTATTCGTTTGCTGCAAAACTTTTCTGCGATTGCATTATCCCCCGAGCCTGCAATGTGCCCACCTGCGTGGTGGACTGAGAAAGACGGTCGACAGGCCATCGAACGATTCAAGCCGAGAAACCACTTGACACTTTATGCCCAGGTGAGTCCCTCGGATATGATTTCCAGCCATCTAATTGGGTTCTCCTCACAGGGTGGTATGTGGGTCAAGATGGAAGCTGTAGATGACGTCGAAGTCATACAGTGACTAAATACGACTTTCTTGCTATATACAGGCACATCGACATGTCATATTACCAGTATTTTTTCTGTTTGAAGAATGGCCTACAAGTATAAAGCTTCCACACGAACAGATTTTTTATTAAACACAATTGATATATCAGCAGCCTTGTAAAGAACGAGAAGTAATGATTTTGTGACATATTTCAAAGAATGACGCGCTGTTCTAAACAGACCCTATAAGTAACACCCTATCATCCCAAACAACGAACGTTTCCATCGAATTCCGAGAATATGGCTCTTATATATAAATATTCGCTGTATGAGTGTCAGATTAATAAATGATTGTTCTAGTTGGAGGTCGCAGAGGTAGACGAAGTGGTTGCGAAGCCGACACGGTGGTTAGTGGTGTCGAAGACAGAGTAGAAGCGTTGACTGTAGGGCAGGTGATCAGCTTTATAACAAAGAAAGTCTTTAGATACATACAGGAATGAGTAACCGTTGATGAAGTCGAGACCACTACCAGAGTTGGTACCTATATCATTAATGACAAGGTAGATGCTATCGCTGCTACCACCGATGTCGGTGTTAAGGGAACGGGGCCAGATTTGGCCATTGGCGGTGAGGCCATAGTTGACACCACCGATGTTGAAGTTCAGGGTTTGCAGGTTGGCATACTGCGCAGAGGTGATCATCAAGAGGCCGGTGTTGTTATCCACCGTAGCACCAGTAGCAGATTGGTACTTTTGGAATGCATCTAGTATTATCCAGTCAGTCAGGGTGACCTGTTTATAACTAACTTGACATACCAGTGGCGATGAGAATGAGGGTGGTGCCAGTGTCGACAATACCAGCAGTCGCGGACAAAATGGTGGAGCTACCGTAGGTGATCGATTGATCGATGCCCCAGTAACTGCTAGCAGGCGATGTGGTTGTGAGAGGGACGTAATTTACTGAGCTCGTCGTCTTTGAGCTGTCGGAGCCACCAAAGGTGAGCTCGCCAGTGCTGCCACCAGGAGCAAAGTAGACTCCGAGTGCTTCAGTGCCAATGGTACCCTTGCTGTAAAGATTGTCGGTGACAGTGGGGACTGAATCAACATTGGAAACGGTGCCCTGCGTCAGGTCAGTCGGTCCGACACCAAGAATTCCATCGAAGTTAGTGAAGCCTGTTGAAGTCGTTGCGGCACCGATAGATTGTCCGGTAATAACCAAACCAGAACTGAGAGTAACTGTGTCCAAGTACTCCTCTCCTGAAAAGCTGCCGGAACCATAATTGACGGACTAAAGAGTTGTTATGAGCAACTTTTTTTTAGCAAAAGGCGTGAAAAGACGTACAACAGAGTTGCCAGTATCTACACTAGTGCTGGTGGTTTTGTATGGGGTATTTGCACCCACCCAGGTGTTGGAGCTGCCCGTATCAATAAGGAGCGTGTCTGAAAATTTATTTAGTCGAAGATATCTGGGGCCACCCGACAACAAGTCTTACACTGATTTGCAGGGCTGCCGACACCAACTTGGGCAGTGTAAACAGTGGCAGCATTAGTGATGCTGAACGAGGAGCTGCCAGCGCGCTTGTGACCAGATTGCTGCATCGCCTGAGCACGAGCCCTGTCAGCGGCAGCGATATTGAGAGTATCAGCCCTAGCGTTCACTCTAGCGGTGAAGCCGAGGGTTGACGAAGATTCACGGCGCAGGGGGGACGCGTCCACAACGGACAGCGCAATGAGAACAGTAGAAAGGAGAGTCTTGGAAGGGAACATCTCGAAGATTTGAAGGTACTGGGTGAGGAATGAGATCAGCTGGAAGTGAGGCTTCAATCATGAATGCAAAGACTTTATATATGTCGTGGCCTCCACCTTAACCATGCGATACCCATAGTATCGAGTCGTGTAGGACTCGGAACGTGCTGTATTTTCGTCCTATCCTAGGGGGTTACGAGATGTCGATAAGAGCTTGCCTGCAAAAATCCCTCTTCCAAAATCAATATTGCTGCATGCCGTCGTCACAATAAAATGATTCATTGCTATAGAGATTAGAGAGCCCAGAGTTCCATTTTGACAACTGATCAGCAGTAGCATATGATTGACCGGACTGTGAGCATGGCGGTATTCCAGATCGCCATCATGATCAAGAACGTTGCCTACCACGTTCCATAATTAGTGCAAAGAACATAGTGTTTCGCCTATCAAACAGAGTTGGTAGATGACCCTGACATTGTCCCCCGTTAACACGGCAAACCTTCCCGAAATGTGCATGAGGGCTATACATTTTCAGACTCGTTGTAATTAATAATAGCAGTGTAACTGAAAACACACCATGGAGAACCACACACATAGCCAGTACCGCCCCAGGTAACGAGAAATCTTCATGCTATGATCTCAAGTATTGCGGCTTGGAGACCTAACGTGACACGCACGTTATGTCTGGCAGTTACCAAGCCCGTACAGTGACGTCACTTATGCGATAATCGAGGGCTGCCTACGCACCGCGGGTCAGAATCTGTGGAGTACTCAACGTTTTGAACGAGGCCGCCTGGACACTGGCTAGCAACGCATTGATACGAATGATTTTTGTTGGTGGTAAGAAACTTCATGAAACTCCTGTGGTGGCATCAAGCCCGTTGACAAGCCAAACTAATGAGTAAAATTTATGATGAACTGCTAAGGCTACTGAGTACTTACCGAGTACTGAATAGAAAAGCAATGCATTTGAAAATTGTAACTCAGAAGCGCCCAACAATTGTCTATGGATTATGGTTTGATTGCAGTAGATATGATCATCGACAACCATCATGCACGTGACGGTCGGGGTGCACACGGGAGAACTGAGCCCACTCCTCATCAATTTGACCACGATATGCATCGCAAAGCATCCTCATGACTTCCTCGTAATTAATACACTTTCCATGTGGCGCAACTTTGTCGGGCACCTGGAGCCTTTTGATCTAGAACGCAATTCCAAAAATTCACCGACCTGCTCCGATCGCAGGCTTTGCATCCTTGTGCTCGAAATGATGCTTTTAATAGCGGGCGGATCTACGAGGGGCCGTAAGCATCATCGGAAGATCTTCGAGTACAAGGTGGTTAGGCGATATGGGATCAAAGCACTTGCTGTAGAAGTCCAGTGCACTCGGAATCTCTCTCCTCATCGACATCTCTGATTGGTACGCTGGATTATCATTACATTGCATACTACGACATCAATTTTATCCCGTACTGAATCCATACCAGCAGCAGATTAATAGGTCGAGCCGCTAAGTAAGCCCTGCTTGTGCGTCATTCGCTAGCAGTGCTCATTTGAGCCATCATCAATATTATCATCAGACCACCCCGGCTGCGCCTGTAAACGATGGAACAGCTTCGATTGCCGTCGTTACGACCCAAGCGAGTTATGATAAGGAAGTCTGCGCTTTGGGAGGCAGTTCTCTGGAAGATCGTGTTCCGTATCTAGCAGCACTTGCTTCGGCGGCCCATTTTCGAAAATACACCATGTGCGTATCCGGTGTCAGTGCCTCAATCATGTGGTGCCCTCTCTTGATGTTCACGCTGTCCATATGAAGTCCCATCCACTTCAAATCGCCATGATCCTGAATTCTACCCCATTCGAATGTCGGTTATCATATAGATATCTCGCCAACTCATCAGCCCTGAGCGTCCGCATGTAGAGGGACTTCGTGCGACCATCGCATTGCCGCAATCAACAAGATGGTGGATTAAATTCACTTCGGTTCTCCTTTGCTGTATCTTGCCACTCCTGTTGTATTCGCGTTGCTGAGTTTGCGACCTCCATAGTGTGTTCAAGACAACAGATCCCTTCTTATTCGCAACCAATAAAGTTCGCTATGTTGGCTGTACGGCGACCTAGTAAAGACAAAGAAGACCATATCGTCATCTGTACCCATGCTGACCAGCATGAAAGGATATCCAACCTGATAGTACGAATGTCCCTCAAGCAAGCCGACCTGTCATATCCAACCTGATAGGTAGTCATGTGGGTGGTGAGCTGAAGGACTACATTGACGAGGGTGTCAAGATTGTCGTTGATGTCATAGTTGTCGGAAGGGATGACTTACCAACTGAGGTAAAATTGGTGGCCGCAAATGAAGATGCATAGGACATAAAGCTGGAGCGGTCGTGCGGCCATGGGGAGTCCTGGATAATCGGCTCCTTGTGACACAATCTTTTTGACAACTGTGGTGTTGGTTGTATTGGGACCGTCCTTGAAGTCAGGAAAAGACATGTTTTCGTCAGTGGGACCCGCGCATTCATCCATTGACACCACCTGACAAAACTGCAATCGTTTGTATCCTGTCATTTCTGCCACTGCACCATTGTGCGAAATATACTTTGCAGGGAAATCTCCTGGCATGACCGATGCGACCAGGTTGATCGAGCGCATGTTTACCAGTCGTGGGTATAGATAAATTTCATCGAATGTATCTCATACAGTTCGAAATTCAGCCAGAATCAGTGCTTGCTCTGATGGACGTTTCAACTGTTTTCATGACAGTGTGGTCATGAATTCTGTGTCAATCAGCGCCTGCGAGGTTTCCATGTAGGACAGAGGAGAGACGGATTAAAACTCAAAAGTACTAAGCGCCCGAGTTAAGCGCTGAGTTTGAACATTGACGTTATAAGCCAGACGGACTTCAAACCAATTCTTTTCCTCAACCAGCTCGAAGGCCACGAATGCTCATCACGTACAGGTTGCTTCATGCATCCACATTTCTGAGCGGGCTAAGGTCTGAGTATTTTAATCCCCCTCGATTGGCTCTAGCAGAGCCCGGCTGTAATCAGCTGCGCGACGTACCAGAAAAGCAGCTTCGTTTTCACATCCCCAAGATCCTGTCACGGCAGAGGAGGGCGAGAATGAGAGGCTTTGAAAGCGTTGCGGGGATCGGGCAAACTAGTGTCCACCGTGTAGCAGTCCTATCGCGCGTGCGCCTCTCACAATGGCGCTCAGGGACATAGAGAGGTTCTGTTGCAGATGCTCAAGTCCCCGGGCCTTTGCTGCGGTACATTCCTTACATCTAAATCGCTAGATGTCATGTACATTCGTCGCCCTCAGGAATCAACTTGAGTTTTGGTGGTACATTTCTTACATCTAACTCGCTAGATGTCATGTACATTCGTCGCCCTCAGGAATCAACCTGAGTTCTGGTGGTACATGCAGACTGCAGTCGAGGTATCCTCCCACGGTGCCTACCCTACCGATGAGCGTCTCTGCTCGGCTTCGTGAATATCCGCTCACGGCTGGAGGTGACTACATTACCATAATGTCGTTACTCTCCTTGCGTATGAGGGATATATGCGATGACACTGGTTTGTCCTTGAGTTCACTTCGTGGCTCGCGTATCCTTCGTGGATCGTGAAACTCGATTCAGACTACTCTTGGACTGGTTCTTACAAATTTTTCAACTTCTTGAACTCCTTTGTGGAGTGTCATCCCCGATGAGTCCATGGTCTCCGTTTGCGTCTCAACTGGTTGAAAGGGACGTAGTCGAAGGATGTATCTGGTATGCAATGTCCAATCTTATCTTTATACGTTCATAGCAACCACTTTATCATCTATTTATATGCATTCTAATCCATCAGATCTCAGAGCTTACTGTATCTCACTAAGCGCTGAATAATCTAGTGAGATTGCGACATCCTGAGACGCTAACTGAGCGGTGGTTGGTATATATAGCATGGAAGACATGGAAGGTGTTTCCTTACAAACTCCCTCAATATGCAGCCTCCAGCAAACAGGCCTGCACCCGCCATCCCGTATTTTACCCCTGCGCAGGTCCCAGCTGCAGGCACAGCATTTGACCCCCAGCCTGATGGAAATCCTATACCAAAATTGTTCCAGCCTATCAAGATCAGAGGGACGACATTCCACAACCGTATCTTCGTGGGTCGTCATATTGATCGACGCGTTCCCCTGACGTCTCATCTCAATCTCGTGTAGCTATCTCCACTGTGTCAATATTCTGCAGACGATGGTCATCTCACATCCTGGCACATGGCGCACCGTACGTCTATGAATCTCGAACATGATCGAAATACTCATGATATCCAGTGGGTGGCATCTTCACCCGAGGTCCTGGTCTTACTATAATCGAAGCGACAGCGGTCGTCCCAGAGGGTCGCATCAGCCCCGATGACTCAGGACTCTGGAAAGATAGCCAAATCGAGCCCCTTCGCAAGATAGTCGAGTTTGCCCATTCCCAAAACCAAAAGGTTGGCATTCAGCTTGGCCACGCCGGCAGGAAAGCATCCACCGTTGTGCCGTGGTTACATTCGGGTATGGCAGCGACTGAGAGCGTAGGCGGATGGCCAGACAATGTATGGGGGCCCTCTACGGTTCCTTACAACGACATCTTCCCAGTGCCTAAGGAGCTATCCAAGGCGCAGATCAAGGCGCTCGTCGTCGCATATGTAGAAGCTGCGAAGAGAGCATTGAAAGCTGGCATTGACGTCATTGAAATCCATAACGCACACGGCTATTTGCTCGCCGCTTTCGTGAGCCCCACCAGCAACACGCGCACAGACGAATACGGCGGAAGCTTCGAGAACCGCATTCGTTTGACTCTCGAGATCGTGGATGCTATCCGTGGCGTTATTCCCGAAGACATGCCTCTCTTCCTGAGGTATTTTCGAGTCCATATGATGTTCTTACTTGATCTGAATCATAGCTCGCACTTAGGATTTCTGCGACTGAATGGCTTGAAGAAGCACTTCCAAATGTACCATCTTGGCGTGTCGAAGATACCGTCAAACTTGCTGGTATTCTTGCCGAGCATGGCGTTGACTTCCTCGACGTCTCCAGCGGTGGTAACCACCCAAAGGCCATCG